GCTAGGATGCTTTATCCAAAATAATTGCTTTCAGAAATATCATTTAAAAAGAACATATTTAAAAGCATAGTTGGTTTTAATACAGTTTGATGAACATTGCTATATTGCTTTGTTTTATTTTTAGAATACTACATTTCAGGAAGAAATGAAAACAGTAAGAAATATAATTTCCAAGATTAATCATGTTCTAGTTCATCATTCACCAATCTTGATTATTCAGAGGTGGATCAGAGGATATTTAAGTAGAAAAAAGTTGTGGTAAGTTTATTTTTACGTAGTTTTAATCAGGTGAGTTTTTCATGTATCTAATTAAAGTTGCCATGTCAAATAATTATGAAGTAATCCTGAAGAGATTTTAATTGAATATTTTAGAACTGAAAGATATAGTTGCTGATTCATTGATTAAGCATTTTGCTGTTATTGGTTATTTCAGTACTGTAAGAACACAGTTTGAATTTCCCATTTTGGAAAGTGCACTAATTTTAACGGTTCTAGATTTACTTAAATTCTGAATACTTTCACCAATATTTTTGCAGCTGTATAAACTTATATATTATGAAATGTTTGTGCTGAAAAACCTGCTGCTATAACAAAGATATTCTAAAACTTAACTAACATACTTGGCCTCATTTTAAGATTGTATCTTTAAGTTTATTGTGAAAATTGAAACAAATTTGACATAGAATTATTAATTAAATTATTATAAATGCAATGTAGGTGTCCCAGACATAATAGGTACTATAAAATTCTGCCACTTCTACTTATAAGGATTTTTAAAGTTTTCCTTTTCTGTTCTCAGAGCAAATAAGTTGAAATTATGCATACAATTATTATTTTCATTTTTTGAGGTTTGCGCAATGTATACTTTTCTAAACTAGCTTTTTAACCAATGTGTGAAGTTGCTGCAAACTGAATAGATTAATGCCTATAACAATTGTAATGTGTGCCATTGTTTCTCAATAAAAATATGAAAGTTACAGGTAGTGTCATTAGATACTTACAGATTTTTAAATTTAGTAAAAAAAATTCAAATAACAACTAAATAATAAGCATTTCTATTCACCAAAAACAAATTATTATAACTGGGCTGCTTGATTCTGAATATGTCATTTGTATGAAGTAGCTTGTCACAGTTAAAATTATTTTAGTATTTTTGTATATGATATTTTAGATGTGTGGGCACAACACATGGTAATTTATATTTTCTGAGAATAAGGAATTGGCCAACATCAAAATGAGTATGCCATAAAGCAGAGGTCCCCAACCTTTTGGGCACCAGGGATCGGTTCCATGGAGAAAGGTTTTTCCACAGATCGGAGAGTGCATGGTTTTGTGTACTGCTTGCATCCCATGGATGGGGCTTTGCTTGTTTGTGCGGACCAGTTGTTGGCATGCTGTGGCCCGGTACTGGTCCACAGACCAGGGGTTGGGGACCCCTGACATAGAGCCTTTCTCTATAGCTAAATTGAAATGTGAATCACCCATGTTGAATCAACAGACAGCTATAGTAGGATGAAATTTCTTTCCTTCAATAGGTCTGTATTTAGTCATGTCAGTTACCTTTCCTCCAAGGTAATGAGTGACAAAGCCTAGTAGATTTCACATACCTTAAGACTGGTTTTGGACAATTTTGGAATTAGGTCTTTCTGTAATATTGTTTTAGCACCAGTATTGATAATGAAAATATATCCTGGTGAAGAAAGTGCTATTCACCCATATTTGAATCAGCAATGTAATGGATAGAAAAGCTTGGTAGACTTGATACAGCTTGAAGCTACCTTTAGATGATGTTGGAATAAAGAAGAAAATTATTGCCACTAGTGTAAAATGCAGCAGCTGACATGTTAACAAGGACAACCCAATATTATCATGCACCACCAATATTTCAAAAACTGCATTGGTTGTTGGTTGATTCTAGATTCAGTTCAAAATAATTATTACAACCTCTAAAATCCTATATGACCTAGGAGTGGTTATCTGTGAGACTGCTTTACAAAAGTATGTTTTCAGAGAATGTTTGCTGGAAGTCCGTCTGCCTCCTCACACAAAGGGTCTTTTTTTGCAAACACTTCTATGGAATTACTTTCCAAATCTAACATCTGCAAACTCGCCCCTGGTATTCAGAAAGCTTTTGAAAAGGTGCTTTTCCAGCATATATTTGGGGTCTGAAGAGTAATAAGTACCTGGGTGTATTTATTCTGATTATGTTCTGATAATGTCTGGGTCTATTTTATTATGATAGGATTATGAATTATTTTGACTGAAGTATCATTTTTTTGTTACTGTGAGTTGGTCTATGATTATTAATACTGTATTTGTTATTAATTTATAATTTGTTAGTAGCTTAGAATCTAAGCTGAAGCAGCATAAAACATTCATAATAAATAAATATTTTAATATCAGTACAGCTAAGAAAAAATTAAGCCTGTCTTACTTAAGGAATGGAGAGAAAAGTGAAAGTAATGTCATGTGGACACAGCCCCCCCAAAAGGGGGGGATATGTTTGTTTTATGTTTAGGTACAAGTGGGAAAAATTCTATATTAATAAAAATGTCTAAACTGTGAGTGAGGAACTTCCTAATTAAAATATTGTCTCTGCCACAAATATGTTAACAATATAATCCTTTATGTGCTTTCTCAGAAGGAAATTCCACTGAGTGCAGTAATATTGATTCCCAGGTAACTAAAATTACTTAAGATAGGAGCCTCAAGTGTCACCTGAGTGGTGTGACTAGCAGAATATATATCCATGGTTTGTTTATAATTAAGTACATTTGAAACTAAAAGATCCTTAGTTATACCCAGAGCTAAATATAGAAAATATCCATATGCAACTCTTCTGATTAGTTTTAGCTAGATGTAGTGTAAATGATTTATGAGATAAAGTATTCAGAATCAATGAATATAAGTTTTAGCAATAGCAATAGCATTTAGTCTTATGTACTGCCCCATAGTGCTTTACAGCCCTCTCTAAGTGGTTTAGAGAGTCAGCACATTGCCCCCAGCAATCTGGGTCCTCATTTTACCGACCTTGGAAGGATGGAAGGCTGAGTCAACCTTGAGCCCTGATAGGATCGAACTCCAGGCTGTGGGCAGAGTTAGCCTTCAATACTGCATTCTAACCACTGCATCACCAGGGCTCCTATCATTTTCTCATGAAATGGGACAGTTAAGCAGATAAAAAAAATATAATTTAATATATGAATTAATCAGTTCCATAATATTTTTCATGTTAATCTTAATTTTACAATCTCCTGTAATGCTCAAATTCATATCATCCTGAATATTTTTTCCCTAAATGTTAACCTAATCTTAAACATTGTAGACAGTTACTTTCAAGAAAGATAAATGCTAAACTTTGGTACAAATTGCTCCTTGTTTTTTTTTTTTTTTTTAAAGAGGATGATTTGAAAATCACACTGAAGATTGGGGGAGAGACATGGGCCACACATGTAAGCAGTGCTTTCTTAGAACTTCTAGCATTAAATTTCAATAATAACCATTGCGTCATGAGAAAAGAGACAGCCCTTCTAGTGGTAGTCACAACAAATAGGTTTCCAACTATGTTAGTCTATGAGCAAATGCACTCTGCAGCCCTCAGCTGCATATGTTTCTCTAATGCAGCAATTGATGTTTGGTATTAATGTTTTTATTTATTCCAATTTATAGACATCCTGCCTTTACTATTTTTTTCATAACTCAAGGCAATGAACGTATCCAGCCCATTTTTCTTCTCCTCTTTCCCCTCTCAACAAAACTCTATGCCGTGACTTGGGCTGAGAGAGAGAGTGACTGGCCCAAGGTTACCCATCTGATTTTTTTTGCCATTTGATTAATGGAAGACAATTTTATAAAGTACACAGGGAGACATTTAATAAATGCAGTGTCATATAAATTATATTCAGCAAAAGTAGTCAAGCAAATTTCTAGCAGGCAGTATTGGCATTCCATTCTGGAGAATTTTTCTCAAATGTTATCTTAAAACATGAGCAAATGAATTCTTTAAAACCCCATTGTCCAATAAATATATATGAAATGAAGGGCCTGGCTCTCTTTTATATTCAGTATATCAAATATACCATTATTAAGTGAGGTTGTAACTTTACATTTCTGAAAATTTTCTAGAGTCAGGCAGAAGATTGAAGAGACTTGTTTCCAAATAGATAGAAACAGTAGCTACTGTCTGCTCCCTTCTGCCTCACATTTCTGTTCTCCTGCTTCTCCGTTACCAATATTGTGAAGAAAGATATATAGGAAAATCTAAAATGGAAGACCTGCCATTTCCTAAGCTTAATGATTTGTTTCGCTAAGCAGGTGGGAGGAACATTTCTCTTGCCATTATTGTTATTATTCAATTTGTTGATGGGATGGAAAATAAGGATATGTCATTGCTGATGCTTTAAGCCTGATTCATGGATGTGTTTGGAAATGAAGGTGCTTTGGCTAGCATGCCTGTCTTGACATATTCACAAAAATCCCTATGTCAGTAGAAACGGTAGCAGAATATGCTTGCAGAAATTTCTATAAGCACTTCAAAGGATCCCCAGATGCGCCACTTTCTCAATAGAATCATGTTCTTTATGGATGCGCCAGCCATTCAGCTAGCTTTGGCTGGATTTAGGATTGCTGTGCAAAGGTTTCTAAGTGATTAAAAGCAGGTGCAGTAGACAGAACTAATCATCTGTAAAGGACAGAGAAGATAGCAGAATGAGCCAATGGAAAGAAAAAAGGCCTTTGCTGCAGTTTTGCCTGCAATTAACTCCACTTTCTGAATTAAGCATTTTCAATAGAGTCATCTTCTTATGCATCTTTTTCTGATGTGATAAATGTGTGCTTGGTTCTAAATCTATAAATATTATTGAAAATGGGTGAAAACGAATAGTAAACTTTATAAAATTAAGAATTTTAGTATTCTCTTTTCAATTTTTCTAAGGCTTATTTAGTACATCCATTGTAATAGTGCTACCAGATCTTGGCTGCAATAATCCTGATGACCATTAGAGGGCAGAACAGAGTTTTATTAGGTGCTTATTTGCTGACTTAAAATGGTCATTTAAATTGGTGCAGCACAGAGCTGGCTGTCTCAGATCATCTGATTTTTCTTGGCAGAAATCTGAAATTCGTTTTTGACATTTCCACCCTTTATGGATTACTAAAACTGTTCCAATGCTTTTAGGATGAACATTTAAGACACTTTATTTCATTGATCACATGACCACATGAACACCTTTATAGTTGTGAACTTTTCAGTCATGACA